TTAAAAAGCAGAATTGGCCAAATGGAAAAAGAGGCACAAAAATTCACTGGGAAAAAAAAAAAACTCCTTAAAAAGTAGAACTGGCCAAATGGAAACAAAGGTCCAATAGCTCACTGAAGAAAATAATTCCTTAAAAATTAGAATTGAGCAAAGGGAAGCTAATGACTTTATGAGATGTCAAGAAACAATAAAACAAAACCAAAAGAATAAAAAAAAATAGAAGACAATGTGAAATATCTCACTGGAAAAAAACTGACCTCAAAAAATAGATCCAGGAAAGATAATTTAAAAACTCTTGGACTAGCTGAAAGCCATGATAAAAAAAAAAAGAGCCTAGACATTACCTTTCAATAAATTATCAAGGAAAACTGCCCAGAGGGTATAATAGAAATTGAAAGAATCCACCCATCACCTCCTGAAAGAGATCCCAAAATGAAAACTCCCAGGAATATAATAGACAAATTCCAGAGCTCCCAGGTCAAGGAGAAAATATAGCAAGCAGCCAGAAAGAAATAATTCAAGTATCATGCAGCCATAGCCAGTATAACACAAGATTTAGCAGTTTCTACATTAAAGGATTGGAGGGCTTAGAATATATTATCAAGGGCAAAGCAGCTAGGATTATAACCAAAAATCACTTACCCAGCAAAACTGAGAATAATCCTTCAGGGGAAAAAAATTGACCTTAAGTGAAATAGAAGACTTTCAAGCATTCCTGATGAAAAGACCAAAGCTGAACAGAAAATCTGACTTTCTCATTCCCCAATTGATAAATAGCCAAAGAATATGAACAGGCGGTTTTCAGAGGAAGAAATTAAAGCTATCTATAGTCATGTGAAAAAAAATACTCTAAATCACTATTGTTTAGAAAAATGCAAATGAAAACAACTCCAAGGTACCACATCACACCTATCAGATTGGCTAACATGATAAAACAGGAAAATGATAAATGTTGGAAAAGATATGGAAAAATTGGAACACTAATGCATTGTTAGTGGTGTTGTGAACTGATCCAACCATTCTGGAGAGCAATTTGGAACTATGCCCAAAGGGCTATAAAATTGTGCATACCCTTTGACCTAGCAATATCACTTCTAGGTCTATATCCCAGGGAGATCATAAAAATGGGAAAAGGACCCACATGTACAAAAATATTTGTATCAGATATTTTTATGGTGGCCAAGAACTGGAAATTGAGGGGATGCCCATCAACTGGGGAATGGCTGAGCAAGCTGTGGTATATGAATCTAATGGAATACTATTGTGCTATAAGAAATGATGAGCAGATGGACTTCAGAAAAACCTGGAAAGACTTCCATGAACCGATGCAGAGTGAAATGAGCAGAACCCGGAGAACATTGTGCACAGTGACAGCCACATTGTGTGATGACTGACTTTGATAAGACTTAACCCTTCTCAGCAATGCAAGGATCATCTCCAAAAGACTCATGATGGAAATTGATATCCACATTCAGGGGGGAAGAACTATGGAGTCTGAGTGCAGATGGAAGCATACTATTTGTTCTCCTTTTCTTTTGTTGTTTTGTTTTGTTTCTTCTTTCTTGTGGTTCCTCCCATTAGTTCTAATTCTTCTTCACATCATGACTAATGTGAAAATATGTTTAATATGAATGTATAAGTAGAGCTTATATCAGGTTGTATGCTGTCTTGGGGAGGGGGAAGTAGAGGGAGGGGGAGAAAATCAAAACTCAAAAGCTTACGGAAGTGAATGTTGAAAACTTAAAAATAAATTAATTACATATAAAAAAAGAAAATCTGACTTTCAAATTCAAGACTCAAGAGAAGCATAAAAAGGTAAACAGGAAAGGGAAATCATAAGAGACTTAATAAGGTTAAACTGTTTACATTCCTGCATGCGAAGATGATAACTTGTAACTCATAAGACCTTTCTCATTATTAGGGTAGTTCAAAGGAGTATATACAGACAGAGGGCACAGATATGAGTTGAATATGAAGGGATGATATCTAAAAAAATAAAGGGGTGAGAGAGGAAATATATTGGGAGAAAGGGAAAGGTAGAGGTGGAATGGGGTAAATTATCTCACATAAAAGAGGCAAGAAAAAGCCTTTACAGTGGAGGATAAGATGGGGTAGGTGGGACAGGGGGGTGGCGAGGGGTGAGTGAACCTTTCTCTCATCGGAACTGGCTCCAGGAGGGAATAACATACACACTCAATTGAATATAGGAATCTACCTTACCCTATAGGAAAGTAGGAGGAGAAAGGGATAAGAGAAGGGTGGCAGGGTGGTAGAAGGGAAGGCAGATTGGAGGAGGGGGTAGTCAGAAACAAAATACTTTTAAAGAGAGACAGGGTGAAAAGAGAGAGAATAGAATAAATGGGGAGGGGGGAAATATGATGGAGGGAAGTCCAGTTAACAATAATAATTGTAAAAAAATTTTGAGGCAAATTTTTCTGTTAAAAGGCCTCATTTCTCGAACATATAGAGACCTGAGTCAAATTTATAAAAATGAGAGGCATTTCCCAACTGATAAATGATCAAAAGATATGAACAGTTTTCAGATGAAGTAATCAAAGCTATCTATGGCTGTATGAAAAAATGCTCTAACTCACTACTGATTGGAGAAATGCAAATGAAAACAATTCCAAGGTACTACCTCATACCTATTAGATTGGTTAATAGGACAGAAAAGGAAAATGACAAATGTCGGAGGGGTGTGGGAAAGATGAGACATTAATGCATTGTTGGTGGAGTTGTGAACTGAATCAACCATTCCACAGAGCAATTTGGAACTATGCCCTAAGGGCTATAAAACCATGCATGCCCTTTTGACCTAACAATACCACTACTAGGTCTGTATCCCAAAGAGATCATAAAAATGGGAAAAGGACCCACATGTACACAAATACTTATAGCAGCTCCTTTCTGGTGGCAAAGAATTGGAAATTGAGGGAATGCCCATTAATTAGGAAATGGCTGAACAAGTTGTGGTATGTGATTATGATGAAATACTATTGTGCTATAAGAAATGATGAGCAGGATGCTCTCAGAAAAACCTGGTGTGTTGTGCACAACTAATTCAGCTCACCACAAGAGCCAGGATCCTATACAAACTTTGAAGGGATGAGACCAGCTTAACCTTCTATCTCGAATGCGCATTGATGAGGCAGGAGGCAGGATGGAAGCAACTCCGTTTATTTTTAGCAAACCACTTACTTATATAGTAAAATAACAGGAACTCAAGTTACAATGGCATATAGCCCATGCTGTGCTCAAGGACAGCGCATGCACGGCCTGTGCACTTATCTGACTCCAATCCCAGAACAGACTGCTAATGACCATATAATAACTAGGGGAGTTAAAGATTGTTAAAGATCCATACAATGGAGCACCGAACGAGGTGACCTTTGCTCAGAGATCAGCACCCGAGAGGGGTGAGACCTCATGAACAGCCTGTGGCCCTCTACAACCTTACAGATCCCCAACAACTCCCCCTTTTTGTTTTTGATGGAGACGGAGCATATGAAGCTCAGTCCCGAAGTCCTTTATCTGATTAGCTATGCACCTGAGCAAACACGGTCCAAAACACAGCATGGCCAGCAAAATCAAACATAATGGCAATAAGGAAGACAATAGAGACATAAACCAATGTCCAAGGTCATTAAAAGGATTACGGAGTTTATCTATCCAATCAAGTATATGTTGGGCAGTTTTATCTGGCATCAAATCCTTATCAGCCGCCCTTGCAATATCTTTAGCAATTTCGTATAAGTCATCAATATCCACTGCAATAGCAGAATTTCCAAACAGCCCATTTAGATGCCTACGTATTCTTTGCCAATCCCATTGGGATTTATTGTATTTAGCATTGATAAGGCAAATGAATTCATACCTATAATCACATTTTAAATGTGTTCTATATTCTAAAATATCCAATTCATCACCTATTTCGATAATGGTTTCCTTCATTCCCTCAAGTATATGGTAAAATTCATCATCTATCCTTTTTTGTGTTTGAAAACCTTTAGATACATTGTGAGCTAATTGATTCATAAAATCAGCTTGAACCATTTCATTTCTTGCGATAGATATAGATTGAGATAAAGATACAGAAGCAGTTATGATAGCTATAAGTGAAACAATTCCTAATACTACACATGAAATACATCTCTTTTTCCTAGCAACTGCTAATTGATTACTTTGGCCTATTATTCCAAAAATATGATCAGAACGTGACTCATACCAATCTTTGCTTTTCACAGGCACCAAGGCAAACTTTTGTTGTGTAATAACAAAAATAATTTGGTCTCTAATCTTGGTTCCTATACATTCAGACATCCTGCAGTTAATACAAGTGACATTATATTCCCCTGAATCCATGGCCATTATATTGACATTCTGTGCTCTTCCCCACATAAATGCATGATTACCAGTCAAACAAGCTCGCATTGTCATATTATCATGGAAGGTCCCTTGCAAATTCGTAATGTTTATGGGGCCTAAGTCTGCCCACACCTTCCACAACTGATTTTCAACCCCTCTGTCATGAAGGGAAACCCACTGAGGAAATGGAAACCCGCCAAAAGCTCAAGTATGGTTGTTTTTCTCCCTAGTATAATTGTGCCAGGATTGTAACGTAAAATTCTTTTGTAACACAACACACTGACGTTCTGAAGTATAACAAGATAACCAAGGAGGATACCCTAAGCTCTTGCTAATCGGTGTCACATGATAGCATGGCTTTGAATTACTTGGATGTCTGATAGGCGTGTCATTAACACACTGTGACCCCAAGATGCCCGTGTAAGTAACCTTATAAAATTGAAAAAAGACAACAGTATAAGGAGGGGGTACCGTGTTATTAAACACATACCCATCAAAATGGGTGGTGACATTAAATAATTGTAAACACGTGGAGTCTTTGGTGTCATTGCCTTTTGTAACACAAATAGGCGGCACCAAAGCCACACCAGTAAAGTTCATTTTTACAGTGTGTTGAGACCGGTTCTTAGGTGATATGAAATGAAATTCCTTGCCAAAACCTGTGGAGGCATTTCCTTGCAGAATGACCTCAGGTATTGTCTCTCCCCATGTAACTAGTCTGGGCCATGGTGGTTTTGTCACAAAGGCCCATCGTGTTGTATTTCCTGTCTCTGCTGCTACTGTATTCTGCATCCCTGCTGATGATAATGACAAGAGGCAGAGCTTGGTTAAAAGTTCTTGTAGTACCTTCTTCTTATTCTTTCGGCTCCTTCAATTTCCTGGCCGGCCTGTGTTTTCTCTTCTGCTTGCCTTGTCCCTTCTAAATGGATAATGCGGACATCCTTTGTTCTGACCCAGAGTTCTCCATCACCTGTGAAAATAAGAACAAACCCTTGCCCCCAGGTTAGCACTTGCCCTGGACCCTGCCAGACACCGTCAACATCTCTCCACATAACTTTCATATTATGTTTAGGAGAAAGGAATCTGTTTGATTTAGTGGTGTCACTAGTACTGTTGTCATTTCCTGCCAGATATTTCATTGCAGGAGAGAGGTTACAACTATCGAATTTTAAATAATTTATAGTGTAGAGTGCAGTGTTCAATCGATGCCAAGGGGATCCCTTAGCTCCCCTTTTTGTTTTTGGAGCACCATTTTCAAGGTACGATTGGCATTTCAACTATGGCCTGACCACGAGGATTATAGGGAAGGCCAGTAGTGTGACTAATAGAGAACTCAGTACAAAACTTTTTAAAACCTTGCGAAATATATGCAGGACCATTATCAGTTTTTAAGCATTGGGGTGGGCCAGCGAAGGAAAAACAATGAAGCAAATGATTAACAACATTGCCAACAGCCTCACCCGCTTGAACAGTAGCAAAAATAAAGCCTGAATAAGTATCAACAGAAACATGAATATATTTTTGTCTTCCAAAAGGAGAATAATGAGTAACATCCATTTGCCATAAGGTGTTAGGTGTAAGTCCCTTGGGGTTACGGACATTAACATGGAAAGGGGGCTGAAAAGGTACACAATCAGTACAGTGCTTAACAATTTCATGTGCTTGTGATTTTGTTATGCCATATAAAGTTCTTAAAGACTTAGCAGATAAACGTAACTTATTATGACTATTCCTTGCTATTTCCACATTCATTGTTAAAGACCTATCAACCTTCAAAAATTGGTCCTGGGGCAAGAGTGTGGGGACGAACTTGCAAAACATAAAATTTTTCTGTCCTATTCTGTATCATAAGTTGTATAGCATTAAGCAGCTGACATATATTGTTACCAGTATTTTTTATTACAGCAGTCTCTAGATGTTTTAGAATTCCTTCAACATATTTACTATCTGTGATAATATTCATTGGCTCCTCATATTTTTGAAATGCACAATAGACAGCATATAATTCATTCTGTTGTGTGGATATAAAGAGTGTTTCAATCACATGTAACTCCTTTCTTTTGTAGGTTGTATCCAAGGCCAATTCTCAAAGATTGAGTGATATTTAAGGGGTTTTCCATGCACAAGTTTCAAATTGATATTCGCTTGCCAGTTAGGCATTGTTTGTATTGCTGTTGATCATTTGTTGAGAAAATGGAAGGTGTATAACTTCCCGATTGTGTGCCACATAATGTTAAACACCTGTTGTCAATTTTATGTATTAAGTCCCCTATCAAGGCCATATAATTACTCAAAGTATTGTTAATTTGGAGTGTTAAATATAGAAGCCTCCATACTTTCATGCCTATCAATCCTGTTTGTGTGTGCTCCAACTACTTGTTCCTGAATATACAGCAATGTGTGTTTCGCCTCAGGGGTCAGTATTCAGGGTGATTCTAATTGAGGATCACCTCTAAAGCAATCATATAAAGATATCAATTCATAATTTGGAATGCTTATCTGTGACCGAAGCCACTGTACATCTCCTATAAGTTTCTGAAAATCATTAAGTGTTTTCAACTTTTTGTAGGTCTATTTTTGGAGGATGTAGAACTATTTTTCTTGAAGTATCTGGTGACCTAAATATTGATATGGAGGAAGTTTTTGGATTTTTTCTGGGGCTATTTGAAGCCCATGACTTTGCAACAAATTTTGTATTTTTAACAAGATTTCTTCCAACCCTTCAGGATTGGGATGAGCACATACAATGTCATCCATGTAATGTATCATTTTTAGCTTTTTGTCATGGAATAGTAAAAAAGCAGTCTTTTAAATCAATAACTATCAAAGGCCAGGAAGTCATAAAGCATCGTTAATTTTCCTGACTTCTTTGCAATAATGAAAACAGGTGAATTTTAAGGAACCCAAACAAGTTCATTGGATTTCATTTTGTATTTTGTCAGTCTTATGGATAGAAAAAGCACAAACAGTGGGCGGGAGAAAATAACAGCTCTCAGTAAATGTAAAATATTGTGCCCACAAATTAAGGGGAAATGAATTGAGCTTTAGCTATCTGCTATCCTAGTAGTTTAACTTCATCTTAAAATAATTGATTAGTGGTGATTTATTAGGCAAGCTAAAAGTAATTAATATCCGTAAAAAGGCATGTGAAAATTATTACTGAAAGGCTTGTTGACTGAAAAGCTTGTTAAAACTTGGGCATTAACAAGGAAAGTTTGGTAGTAGTAGGACAACTGCAGAGTTTATCATCCATACAATAAATTATTTTTGTCTGGGAATATTTCTGACTAACAAGTTTAATAGTGTGATGAACAAAATTTCGGCACATGGTAAGAAACATTCCTCCTTAAAGGATCATAATAGGGAAAACGGGAAATACTGATTTAATAACACAACCATACCCAAATTCAAGCTCAAAACAAAGTTAATTATAGTTCTAAGAGTCTTTTACCTCAAGCAGTAAGTTTCACTGATTATGGCTTAAAGCCAGATACAGTTGTTTTCATAGAAGTGTAATAATCAATAAAGATTTACTAGGACTCACGTACATAAGAAATTTTACTTAACATCCTTTCTTTCCCACATTTAAACTTGTCTTGGTGAAAAAGCCAATTATTAGAAATCATTTATATAAAGTTGCAGTTTCTCAGTAAGCTAAATGAATTGTTTAGGAACTCAATAACATAAACAAATTCTTCTCTCAGAGCAGACGACCTTGACACAGTTGGTAGGAGCTTTTGGCAAGCTTACAAAGTTAAGGGAATTGCCTTGTGTCCCTCCTTTTCACTCAGAAGTAATTAAGAATTCTAGGTCTTAGCTTTAAAACAGTAACTTCAAATAACTTAGTTAACAATTTTGGTAATTTTCATGAGTGATAGTTAAATTATTTTAGCTCTAAGCTGTTCTTTTAATCATAGGTAAAGATAGAAATACCTGATTTTCTAAATGATAGTTATAAAACATCATAGAACAAGATTAACCAGACTTGATAAAATAATTTAGCTGGATTTACACAGTTATCTCACTACCTTGCAGTTTCTTTTAGTTCACGTTTTAATAACATCAAAATTATTAAAAATTGCTTGATAACACATAAAAGTGTACCAATTTGTAATGAGACTAGATTTTTAAAACTTGAAACATGCATATTACTAATGTGAATGAACTAAATTATCTTTAGATTGTGTTCCAATACTTAAAAACTTTTCTTTTTGATTTGAAGAGGAAAACTCCTCCTTCTCCTTCTTTTCTCCCCCACCCCAACCTGGCCAGGGTTGGAATTCGAGAGAAAGGAAGAGAATATTTTTTCAACATAATCTTTCAATCTTACACTCAAAGCTTTGGCCAGAGCTTTAGAATGCAAAAAAGAAAGAGAATTTTTTCTCCAAAAGTTTCTAAATCTTTTACTCTCAAATCATCTATTTCTGCTATTCATGCAAACAGGTTATACTATTCTTTCCACCCATACTTTTCTTATTCCTGTATGTTTAAACTTTCTTGCCTTTCATCAAATTATTTATCCTAAATAATGAAGTACTTTTTCTCCCATTCTCTCCCCCACCCACCGGCTCCCGGGAAATGCAGCTGGTATTAGGGAGGGGGAAGGGGAGAAAGTCACTAACAGCATTTCAGAATCCCTTAGCTGCCTGGCAGTAAAAGATTAAACAAATCACAAACATTAAGCACAGACCATCATTCACACAGACACACACAAACATAGAATCCAAAAGCGAGAAACTTGTCAGAAATTCCCTACACAAATGAAATAATACTATTTTTATTTTATTTTATCTTTTCTTTTCATGGTATTCTAAAACCAGGCAAAATCTTTCTTAAGGTTTTGGTTTTTATAAAAGGAAACTTTTTCACTTTGTAATGCTCCACAATGTCCACAATATAGTGCTGTGACTACACGTTTCTTTTCTACTTCCCCTTGGGGATTTTTGAATTCATGATTTTGAAATTCCTCATGGCACATGGGGAGAGCTTCCTTTGTTCTCACAGGTCCTACAAGCCCATTTTTATAAGATTTTAGATAGTGAAAGTACCCAGAGGAACTGATTTTTGGCCTTTGGTATTATAAAATTCTGTTGATTGTTCTCCCACTATTTTCCATTGTTCTAAATCTAAACTCCCTTCTCTGGGGTGCCATGGAGATTTTATATCAATAATATCTAGAAACTCTCTTATTTTCTTAGGAGTTACCGAGCACCCCTGTTCCTCAATCACTTTATATATTACTCTAACATTCTGTTCCTTATCTGAGAGTTTACCTAGATTTTGCCTCATGATAAGACTGTATCTTACCTCTCCATAGTTTTGTGCCACAGGATATGATTCGGAGACCTCTCACAAGGAGGCTGCCTGGCTTCCCAAAGACCTCAGTGTCCTGACTGTGGGGTGATTTCTGCAGCTTTTCTCTGGCGCGGCCCTTCGCTTTTCAGGCTAAAGGGGGTCCCACATTGTGGATTGTGGGTTGTTTTCTCAGTTTCCTCCGATACCTGCCCTTCGGTCTTCAGACTACCAAAGGGGGCCCCACGTTGGGTGCCAGTCTGTCGTGCACAACTAATTCAGCTCACCACAAGAGCCAGGATCCCATACTAACTTTGAAGGGATAAGACCAGCTTAACCTTCTATCTCGAATGTGCATTGATGAGGCAGGAGGCAGGATGGAAGCAACTCCGTTTATTTTTAGCAAACCACTTACATATATAGTAAAATAACAGGAACTCAAGTTACAATGACGTATAGCCCATGCTGTGCTCAAGGACAGTGCATGCACGGCCTGTGCACTTATCTGACTCCAATCCCAGAATAGACTGCTAATGACCATATAATAACTAGGGGAGTTAAAGATTGTTAAAGATCCATACAATGGAGCACCGAACCAGGTGACCTTTGCTCAGAGATCAGCACCCGAGAGGGGCCTCCGCCCGTCAGTGAGACCTCATGAACAGCCTGTGGCCCTCT